TCACAAGCCCAACCACCCTCCACTGGTCTCTTGATACAAGAGTAGCAGGATTCTAGAAAAGCACAGGGGAGGAGAGAGCTACGGCCTTGGCCTTCTTTAGAAAATGCAACCCTTCGGGGAGAAGCCTAAAGAGAAAAGCAGGACGCTGATTGTCCAGGCCCTGAAGCGTTGTTTCGATCGGAATTGAGATGGGGGACTGCTGAAGGGTTCAAGGAAGAGTGAAATGAACCACATTTTCTTTAAAGGTTCCTTCTAGCAATTGGATGGATAAAAGATTGGTGAGCTGGAAGCAGAGAGTCCAGTTCAAATGTGTGATCAAAATGGTGTGTCAACTTGGCTGGGTCAGGATACTCAGGGGGTTAGCAGTTAAGGTGCCACCCCCCATGATGAGATCTCATACAAAGTAATCACTTTCATGGGGAGAGCTTCCTGAGGGGTATGACCTGATTCCAATCTATGCGGTAAGGCTTTCTTGCTTTTTGCTGGACGTGCATTCCGAATCTTCTTCTGCTTCTTTGGATTTGAGCCAGCAGCCTGTCATACTGCCTCCCACTCCGAGGAGTTCGTGGGCAGTCTGTCATCTTACCTGCAATCTTGAATTCAATGGACTGTCTGGCCTGGAGATTGTAAGTTCTCCAGACCCCGCAGCTACCTGAGTCAGGAGAACCCTCCTGCCTGACACTTGACCCAAAGACTGGAAACCGGCCAGTTTCCATCACGGTGCAAGCCATTTCCTGGAGAGTAACACACATTTATCTCTAGGAGCCCTGTTGGCATAGTGGCTACTCATTGGGCTGCTGTCAGGTCAGCAGTTTGAGACCATCATCTGCTCTGCGGAAGAAAGATGAAGCTTTCTACTCCCATAAAGAGGTACAGTCTCAGAAATCCTCAGAGGCAGTTCCACCCTGTCCTGTAGGGTCACTATGGTTTGGAAACTACTTGATGGCAGTGTGTTTGGGTTTTAGTTCCATCTATCATCTATCTATCTATCTATCTATCTATCTATCTATCTATCTATCTATCTATCTATCATCTATCATATATTGTCTTTCTTTCTCTCTCTCTGGCTTTGCTTCGCTAGATAGCCCTGCCTAAGACAGAAGGAGATTCTTCAAAGAGACTACGTGAGAGAAGATGGGAAGGCCAAGCTAAGTGAGTGCAGGGGGGTGGGGTGAGGCAAGATCACCAGGCTTCAGGCCTGTCCTGTGGTTTTGCTCACTGAGACGGTGAACAATGAGATCGTGAGTTCTGAGTGGTCTGGGACATGTTGAGCCTGACAGGCCAGTGATCCACCCCAGGGTAGATGTGAGACTCTGGAACCAGGGGGGTAAATATTTGTTGTTGATGTTGTTAGCTGCCCCCGAGTGGGCCGGGACTCACGGCCACTTTTTTTTTTTTTAATTTAATAGCACCTTTATTGTAAGGAAAAACCAAGACGTTGAGGACTCCAAAGAGCCCAGGGGAGTGGGAACAGGACAGGATGGGGTAAGGTGAGTATAAAAAAATGGAAGGTTTAACATGAAAAAAAA